ATTATCTTAAGCTACCCTAGCCACTTTGTTGTCAAAACATAGCATGATGGGTCTGAATCTCTACAGAGCTGAAGATTTAATGGTGTTACAAATATCGTTAATTTGCAGGGTTTGAGTCCCCTCCAATTTTAAACAAATTGAACAATCTTCCAATTCGTTTTTGAATTGTAGTTGTACGGATAAGAAGATTTAGTTGGATCAAAAAAGTAAACTAAAATTTGAAATCCAAAATCAATTGAATCTACAGGTTTATATTCAAATTTAAATTTGAATCTACATTTTAACAAGTATACATATATACTGATTGGATTTGATAAGATTAACCTGTAATTTATCATGGTAAAATGCAGGAGCAATCAATCTTCTGCGTTTGGCCCATTTATCTCCTTCCAAGGTGTTGATTCCAAGCGTTAGAAGATCAACAAGAGGGTTCAATGGTGGCTTTTGGAACTGACCATTCTTGTCATTTAATATCTGTGCCATCAGCTCTGGGTCCGCGATTATCAGCCGGGGTCGCGTTTCAATCCAACTCATACTAATTTTTCCTGCTTTCCATATACAAAATCATTAGTGAACGTCACAAATTAAATTATTTTTACTTGTGTCAGACATATCCCTATCCGTACTCAAGTCCTAATTCGGTTTTGAAAACTTCGATACGAGTATGATAAAGCTTCGATACGAGTTTCACCGCAACATCCACCTCAAAACCCGCACATAGAGTTTGGCCACTAAATCAGTATAGGTGATGATGTCGAATCATGGCTATTCGATTCTCAGTTTGCATTTAATTTTAAGATGCAATTCACACATGAATTTCAGCCCCAATTTGAATAATCCCAAATTGATGTTAATAGCATTAATATTAAACATAAGACATTGTTGGGGGGGAGTGCTTACCATATTTCTGCACCATTTGATGAAAGAAGGGGTTGACACGAGGTGCAATCTGGTGGTTTAAACTCATGGGCTTGGACCATGCTTCTTTGATCAACCTCTGACTCTCTCTCATGCCGCCATTAAAGAGCTTGTAAGAAGTGCCCCTGATTCCTTGCTTCTTTAAAAGCTTTTCGAGGCTTTTGGGTCTCCACCAGATGTTATAAAAAACTCTCAGAACAATACAAAGAGTTAGTAAAACACAAGACGCAGACAGTTTCCTCAAGGTGAAAATCTCCATCTTGTTTCAGACAGTGTTCACAAGACACAGAAGGTGTTTTAGCTTTAAACGATATGAAACTCAAATGTGATGAATTTATGGTGAACTTTCAAATCCAAAGTAAAGAAATACTTGGCTGCTATATAGTGGGCCCATTCAATTATTTAGCGTTTGGATAGGGTATTAATAGCGAGATTTTCGGGCCCATTCAATTATTTGTACTAATCCTCAAATACAATAAAGACTAATCCTCAAATATATATATATTGGATTTTGGAAAATTGAGAGTAAGGATTGATTATTTTTAGAATTGACTAGTACTTGTGCATTGCACGTGAACAACTTTGAGAATAGGTAATTGGATAATAAAATTGCGGTCTAAATTATTATCTTATTAATGGTACATCTGAAACATAACCAATTTGCTTGAGTGTTTAGATGTAATAAATATTTATCAAATTTTACACCCGTCTACTACCACCGTTAATTTCCTATAGTACATAAAACACAACAAAGATGTTAAGTTAAAAAGCATGGTACCAATGTACTTATATCGGCATATATTCAAATAATATAGGAAATTAATGCTCAAAAATGACATTATTTCTTAATATCTAAGAGATGAATCAGTTTGTCAAGATTCTGAGTCAAACAAGAACAAAACCAAGTTAAATCCAATTTCCACAAATAGGTTGTACTTGTATTGTAAAATCTAATGAGCCAACTTGCACAATTTCAAGAAACACGGTTTTCAAATTTTCATTCAAAAGCTAATGTAAAAGTTTAAGCATTGTGGCATGATGGTACACCCTGAAAGAAACATTGTTTAAATCTTTGGGTCATATCCTTGTGGTGAAATACAAATAAACACAGCAGCTGAAACCTTAGAAAAGAAACAAAATTTTGAAACAAAGGGACCAAACTAATGATGCTCACATATCCATTGGATCATTGTGTAGCTGCTTTGACTTCCTCAATTGTAGACATTGTCACAAAACCAAATCCACGGCTTCTCTCTGTAAACTTTGAGAATAGATAATTGTACAATAAAATAAGGTTAATTAAGACTGATAAATAACAATATTAGTCACACTATTGATCTCAAACATGGGCCCAACTATAAGCATATAAAAATGATTCAAACAAAATATCATATCAGTAATTCATCCTCAAAATGCATAACCAAACAGCAACATGCCATAAAGAGTCGTCAATAACACTTGCATGTTTTTTATTCTGACTACAATCATTTCATTAAAGTCCAAAGCTTGGCACTAAATATTAAGAAACTGCACACTTCAACATCGCCTCCAGCTTGCTACAATTAGATGTATGGGTTCCACATCTGCCAGACGCACTCCCAACCTCCTGATACTCTTGTTGCAGTCCACTAGTCCCCTTTCACAATTTGACAATAGATAATTGCACAATAGAGTTGTTGCCTGGTTTATCATCTTATTAATGATACACCTCAAACCTCGCTTGTCCACTACTACCCTTAATTTCCTGTAGGACATAAAACACAACAAAGAGGTTAATTCACTTGCAAATTTTGAAAAATTAAAAAAAGCAAAGACCGAGTATGTACAATTCGAGAAAATGACATTTAATTGATCAATCCTGTTTTTTCAACTATGAGTTGGTATCATAACGTTTGGCGATAACCTTATTGATGGATTCTTCTAATAATACTTTTTAGCATTAGCAATGTCTATTTATCTTTATGCCATTGGTAGAATTTCAATGAACTATTATATTGGGCTTTCAAATCAGTTTTGATGACTCTTATCATGTTTTGGAAGAGGACTATTATAATTATGATATGACTCTAGTTAAAATCACACATAGAACACAATGAAAAGATCTAAACCATAGTAAATAAAATGTATCATGTCCTTATAACAAAAATTCCCACCAACGACACTTAACATGCTACGATTTTCATATTTGCTTAATTCAAATGTATAGAAGTTCCCTTCAGTTCTCTAGCTAGATGCTATTTACTCTCCTTTCCAATCATTATTCTCTGACACAAACTTTACCTCCTTACTTTTTGCATGGTCAACACTCTTAATGGCAACACTCTTAAGGGTTCCAAGAGATTCATATAATGTATTTGTTTTGCTTACTAAAAGCTAAAGTCAATATTTATTGTCCTAGTTCAGTGTCAAACAAGATTCATCTTGTCTTCTACTCAAGGGTAAAGATAATCTGGTATAGATTCCACAACCTATTAACTATGATGTGAATGCAACCTGGGGTTGGGGTTAACAGTGAGTTTAAGATTGCTAAGGATAAGAGACATTCATTTAAAACTTAAGAAGAGACAAAGACCACGATACAAGAAGAGTACCTCATTTTGGTATCTGTTAATTGCATGATTTTATAAGGGAACATTAGATTGCACATCAATCATGGAATAACATTGTGCAATTATGTTTTTCATATGTTAATAACCCAGATTTTTTGTTGTTAAAATTTCCTAAATAAATAAAACATTGTATTCAATTCTTCACCACTGTTGCAGCAACTAAATAGAATAATGAACTGATTCAAAAACAAAATCACTAAAAAGAAAATACCGATGTAAATCATATCTGATTCAATATTTGTCTTCGAGATGGATTTTATAACTCTATTCTTCCAGTGATCCCATCAGCAAAACATAATAATAAGCAAAATCTAAAATGAAAACTCCCAAAACCGAACCAATCCAAAAATTCTGATATAATAATTTAATCACACGTGGTAGTTACTTGGTCAAAGGGAGGGGGTGAAGTTCCTTTGGCGGTGGAGAGCTTGAAGAAGAAGAAGGTTTGCTATGTAAAGTTATGAGATTTTTCGGGTTGGTACAAGTAAAGTTAAATTTTGCACAAAGAGTATAAATTAGAAGATGATAATGACTAAACACAAAAATTACGGGAAGGATTTGTTAACAAAAACTCATTACCTGATGAGCTAGTGCAGTGATGGTTGTGTAATGCCAAGACGCAAAAGCCAGCCAGAGTCTAACAGAGAGGGGTGAAGAGCGATGGTAAATAGGATTTTGAAGAATTTTTTGGACAGAGGAGGGCGATGGTAAATAGGGTTTTGAAGGATTTCTTAGAAGTTGTCTAGTTTTTTTCATTTTGCAAATTAATTGTTGGGATGTGAATAGCCACAACTAAAGCTTTAAAAGAAAGAGAAAATGGTTGCCTAACTGAATCTATAATAGCAAAGAGGTATTTCAATGGTAACTGATTTCTGTAATTGAATACATATAATTAAAGAAATTTGGGGAGAGAGAGACACTGAGAGAGGGACGATGAAGGGGGCCATGACGATGTGATCTTGGTAGATAGAGCAACGGGGGGAAGGGGTAGTGAGGAGAGGGAGCATGAGGGTTTGTTGTTGATCGGTTTGTGAATTCGTAGGAGAGAGATAGCGACTTTGAGAGAGGAAATAGGGAGAGAGAAGAGGGAGAAAGGGTAACTGCTAAGAACTAAGGCTGTCTGTAAATTACAGGAGGCAGATATGCAAATAGGGAGGGAGAGAAGAGGGAGATTGGTTAACGACTGATAATCAATTAGAGCTGATGATGAATAGGCATTAACTCAGATGGATAAGGATGACATAAATTCAATATTAGAGGATAAAATTGGAAAAAAATATTTTTCATACATACTGATATTTTAAAAGAGTAATATTATGTAACTCAAATTTGTATCCCAAATAAAGGGAATCATTGGATTAATGAGTCCCATTTATAAAAACTGATGAGACCCACTCATCCAATGATCTCTTTCATTTGGGATGTAAAATTTGGTTGCAAATTTGGATACATAATATTTCTTATTTTAAAATAGCATAGATTTTGAACTTTGGAGAAATTAAGCATAAATGTAACTTGAATGCTCAAACACTTCTGTCTCGCCAAGTTTGAGAAAGAATCTAAATTTGGTAATTAATCTCCTTCAAACATAGCTATGCTAAATTCGCCATTTATGCCCGAGTATGGCGATTCATATACTAGCTAGGGACAGAGCGAAGTTATAGCACAGGTAGCCATGACCCCCAATCAATTTTTTAAAGCCCACAATGTTGCCTCCATCTTCCATAGTGACAATCCACCAATTTGAAGATGGAGATGGATGATTGATTACCTTTAAATTTTTTGTAGAATGGCAATTAAAGTTATTACTCACAAGGGTGTGGGGTTCTCTTAACATTATCTATATCTATAGTTATACAACTAATAAAAAATAGTTAAGCTAAAAAACTTTTGATTACCTATTATATTCCTATTAAAAAATATTAAATAAACTTATATCCTTATTTATTTAATTACTTAATATTAATTGTATATTCAAATGACTCTTCATATACTTCCATTTTAATAAGAATTATTGTTTCATATATTATATATTTCTTTTAAATTTCTTGAGTTAATAATTATATCTAGGGTTGTCCNGTGTCAGTTGTACTAACGAAGATAATTGTTGGATTATTTTGATTACCGTAGAAAAAAAAACCAATGACTTCTTTTTTTTAAAATAGGGATACAAATATAGTTTATATCAAAAGCAGTTCGCTAACTTATAATTCATTTTATTATGGTATCATATAAAATTATTATTTGTGACCATAATTTATTTATAGACCTAGGGTTACATTATAAAAAAAAAAAAGGAGGACAACAATATTATCACAAATAAATTTTTATGATGGCATGAACCAATTTTTGAGTTTTGTGCTCAAATAATTTTTTCAATGGCAGTGCATAAAAATTAAATTTAATAGGTTCTTTATGTTGGACCGAGGTGGAGGAACAAAAGATACTGGGTCCAGAATTAGTGCCAGTNATTGATTACCTTTAAATTTTTTGTAGAATGGCAATTAAAGTTATTACTCACAAGGGTGTGGGGTTCTCTTAACATTATCTATATCTATAGTTATACAACTAATAAAAAATAGTTAAGCTAAAAAACTTTTGATTACCTATTATATTCCTATTAAAAAATATTAAATAAACTTATATCCTT